AGAGAGAGAGAGAGAGAGAGAGAGAGAGAGAGAGAATGAGAATTCTTAAAGACTATGGGGATCCAGCTCCAGTCTCATCCTCTGAACCTATGTTTATTTTACCTATAACTTTCTTTCCCAGGACAGCTGCTGGGCTCATTCCCTCATATAATTATACTCTGCTCAAGTAAAATCTGGCAGCAAGGTTGTCTCCCATCAGTCTCATGGGAAACCACCCTGTTTCCTCCCGACCTTGCCTGTGCCCTTGACCTTACTGATACTCCTCCCCGCAGGTAAAGACAGCCTGCCTATTGTGTATTTCTTGCCCGTCTCCTCTCACTACAGTATAAGTTGAGAGGAAACATTGTTTTGTCTCCAGCAACCAGAACCCTGCCTGATGTGCAGTGGGCATCCGATAGACAGTTGTGGAATGAATAAACATTTGAAATGTGCCATCAGGGAAACCAAAGAAACCTTGGAAACGACGACAGGGTGACCAGAAAGGACTTCCCACAGAAGGAGCTCTCTGAGCTGGACTTGAAGGCCACAGGGAGAAAGAACAGCCGGTTGGTAAATCCACAGAAGTGGAGGGCACAGATGGTGGGAAGGGGACCCAGAAGCAAAGCGAAGAAGTCCTGAGACCACCCGCGGAGAACGGGCCTTGGGTGCCTCGTGGACCCACAGGGTTGGCCTTTGGAAGGGACCCAGCCCGGGAGCTCACGTCTGAAGCAGGGAGTTTCTTGAGGACCCTTCTCCAGGTGAGGCGGAGGACCTGAGCTAAGATGCAGGTGTAAAGGGACAGTGTGGGATGTGGGGTCACTCCGTCGCCTAAGGAGGGAGAATGGACAATCACCAGACTCTGCCTGCAGGGTGCCCCCAGGGAGGAGGGTGGCACGGGGAGGGGGCAGACAGGGGAAGCCAGAGCACGTGTCTTCAGTGAAGGCAAGGCCTCCCCGGGACTGGAAGGACCCACTGCCCGGCGCTGCGGCTCGCTCACCTGGGCCGCTCACCTGGGCCGCTCACCTGGGCTGTGCTCGCCGACTCCACGGCGCAGGCTCTCCCAGGGCCGATGTCGGGGGCAGACGGTCCCGTCGGGGGAGCTCGCGTCGCCGCACGGTCCCTCGGGATCCCAGGGAGGGCGGCGGCCGCAGCAGCCTGCCTGCGGTGTACCTGGCGCTACCGGTGACCTGGGGCCGTTGGCTTCGCCCGCAGGGTTGGCACGTGGGGCGCGCGCGGGCCACAGAAGTGCACGGGAATGGCACCTCTCAGGAGCCTCCGCGGCTGGCCTTGCGGCTGGCCTCGGCGGGAGCGGGGGTCCAGGCCTTGACTCCTCGTCGCCTCGGAGTGGCTCCTTCTGGACCCCTCCGAGCGCTAGCTGCCACCAGGTCCGTGATCCCCGTGACCTGTGGAGCTCCAGGTTCCCCCAGCGCCCCGGCGACCCCGAAGGTCTGAGTGCAGAGCCTTGAGGCCACAGCGAGCAGCCTGGGGGACTAGGCCGAGCAGTCAGTGGCCTGCTGTGCACGGCTGGAGAGGGGTGAGGAAGGCCAGGTGCAGACAGGATTTAGAAGTCATGCTCACGGGCTGGGTTGACTGGCAGTGGGACCATAGGAAAGAAATCGAGGGAAACTCAACATTTTTTGCCTCCTCAGTGGGTGCTGAGAAGTGCCTAGGATGCCTGCGGAGGGGTGGTGGCAAGTTTGTGATGCTATCAGACATCAGGGCAGAGAAACTTTGAGTGGACAGGAGCATCCGGGAGCCAGCCAGCTGGAGAGGGCATAGGCCAGGTAGACTGGTATGGGGGATGACCTCGAGTTGGGACGGAGGACAGAGCCCTGGGCCTGACGTGCCCACATTCAGAGATCAGCAGAGAGGAGCATCCACAAGGAGACCATGATGGCCAGTGAGGCAGAAGATTGTGGGAAGTGTGATGTTCTGGAGGTTGGAAGAAATTTGCCGATGGAGGGAGGAAGGACCTGGGGAGAGGCTGGACTGGGAAACATGCACACCAGGGCCGTCTCCACCCGGCTTGCAGCAGGAGGGTGGGCAGTACCTGATCTGAAAGGAGTGAGGAATGAGGTGCTGAAGTGGGGGTCATTCATGTGGGCCATGCCTGAGCAGGGAAAGGAGGCAGAGGCCAATAGCGCACATCAGATGGGAGAACCTGTTTCTCCTTCCTCCAGATGTAAGTACTACAAATTGTTGTAGGTTGAAAAGAACAATCCAGCAGGGAGACAAAATGGATGATGCAGTGGAGAGCAGAGGCACTGAACAGGTAAAAGGGAGGGACCCAGTGTCCATGTGGGAAATTGGCCCCCGGTGCCTAGTGATGGAAAGCAGAGTGCCTGGTCCAAGGCACAGGTGGATATGGGGAACAGAATAATGCCCCTGCCATGCCCACATCCTAATCTCTAGAATTTTTGAATGTGTTAGTTTATATGGTAGAAGAAATTGCAAATGTGATTGAAGATAAAAGTCTGGATATTAAGGAGATTATCCTGGGCTCTCCAGATGGGCTCCAAGGAAGGCACAGGAGTCCTTAAAAGTACAAGGAAAGAAGGGGCAGAAGAGGAGGATCAGAAGACCCGTGACTATGGAAGGTCAGACAGGGTGCAACACACTGCTGACTTTGAAGATGGGGAAGGGGGCCATGGACCCAGAATTGTGGGTGGAGGAAATGGATTGTCCTCCAGCTTCTAGACAGGAATGAACACCAGCCTGCCAACACCTGATCTGAGTCCAACAAATCCTGTGGGGGACCCCTAACCTATAGAACTTTTGGATAATAAACATGTTCGGGCAGAGAGTACTGGGGATTTAACCCAGGAGTAATTTACCACTGAGCTACATCCCCAGCCCTTTATTTTTTTATTTCGAGACACCATACCCAGCTACCATGTGGTGTTTTAAATCAAGTTCATGGTCATTGGTTGTGACAGACGTAGATGACTAATACACAGGGCCAGGGATTTGAGACAAGGAGGTAATTCTCAGAGAAGGAGGAAGCCAGGCCATCGACTGCTTAGCAGGAGGCCTGTGAGGGAACCCAGGGGCCGTGGAGTGAGGAGGCCACAGGAGATAGTTGTCTGGCGGAGTGTAAAGCCTGTAGTCCCAGGTTCTAGGCTGTGCCATGGGCAAAAGCAGCTCTCACCCTAGGAAAACTTGGTGTGGTCATGGCTGTGGTAATCATTCCTATTTCAGAGAAAGCAAAAGTTGATTCTAAAGATTAGAGAGGCTGACTCTGGACTGGAGAAGCACAGGGCCTGATTCTGGGTCAGCAGCTTTTGACCTTGGGCAGGTCCTGGCACTTTTACCCCAGGTCAGCCTCTTGCACCTTGCATCCTCATTGACCAACCTTCCAGGGCCTCTGGGAAGATGGGGTGAGAGTGATGTCAGAGTAGAGTTGTTCCAAGCAATTCCAGCACCAGAGCTCATCACAGTGGATGTTGTTGGGAGCCTCACAAGGTAGGGCTAACAGGAAGGCGTGTTACCTATTTGTGTCCCTGTGCATCACTGTCTGGGGCTATGAAAATAACCCCAGGAGTAACATTTCCACTCCTCCAGCCCTCCTGGTGGGCCCAACCCTCTCCAACCCTCTCGACAGCTCAGCCCCAATTACTAAAAATGAAGCTGCATCTGGTTATAGCCCAGGGCCAGAGGTCTAGGATTGAATTATAGGGAAGCTAGGGTGAACCCCTGGTGGCCAGGACCTGCTGAGAGACTTTGGTAAAGGGGTTGTTGGGAAAGATGCTCTTAAAGACAAATGGCCCAAGAGGAGACCCATGTGTCAATCCTAAATCCTTACATTTCAACCTTACCCAACCCTCAGTGAGAACAAGCTGCTTTGGGATCTTGGAGCAGGAGGGGGCTTGGCTGTGGCAGTGATTGCTGTCGACGGACCCTGTGCTATCTGCAGGCCTTCCCCAGCTTGAAAGGGCAGGTTTCTACATCACAGCTGCCCATCCCTAGGGGTTCTAACTTCCTGGGTCCACTTTGACCTCAAGTTCAAGGTGCTTGCAGCCATGGCACTGCAAGCCATAAACTAGGTGGGTCTCCTTGTCCCCCAAAATCAATGGCACCCAGGGAAAGCTTCTTATCAAAAAGTGACAATGCAAGTAGGTTGACATCTGCATTGTGCTTGTGGATCCTAAGCCAGGTCTTTGACACTTCAAGCCAGATGGCCAGCAATTAGCCATTAGTGTTTATTCCTGGAAGCTCATAAACAATAGACCCATACAAAGAAGGGCCATTTCCCTATGGCTGAGCTACCCTGGAGACAAATCCCATGCCTATGAACTCCTTCCTCAGGAAGAGGAGGCCACTCAGGACCTGCCAGGCAGTGGAGGTGTCTCCACCTCCATCACATTAACTTACTTTGCTAACAAACAGTGAGAAATTTTAAAAGACATTCACTAGTGTCGGAGGAAAAAAATGTGCTTACTTTAGTATCCACATCTCTGACACATTAATGACACATCAGTAATACTTCAAAGGTAGCTAACTCCAAAATTCTTTATTAATTCAACTGGAACCCTTGATGGCAGCCACATACACAAACTCAGGTGTGCTACCAACAAGTTGTACAGAGAGTAGCTCAGAGCAACACTGCAGAATTACTAGCCTCTCCCTAGGCTCTTGGCAGAAGTGGCAAATTCAAGCTTCTGTTCAGGGCTGTGGCCTGAGTGTCCAGCCCTGGGGAGGCTCAGCATCACTCTGTCACTTCTACCCCCGTCACTAGACTGCCAGAAAGGGCTAGCGCAGGTGAATGTGTGAGAGCCCTGGCAGCCTACCAAATTCTTCCTCCTGCCTGTAGCTCCCTCCCTCTACCCATCCCAGAGCTGTAGGTTCCGGGAAAGTAACTCCCTCAAGATACAGGACTAGGGCCTGACTGGGCTGGTCCTCAGGGGCTGCCTTGCAAGCCATCCACTGGAGGAAGGGGAAGGGCAGACCTAGGAGATGTCTCGCAAACTTATTCCACATCTGAACCCCAAGGATGAGGGAGTAGAGTTCAGGCAGGCCTAGCCAGTGCCTGCAGGTCCCTGGCTGGCATTTGTCACCAAGGCCTCCAGACGCTCTGGGGTAATCGGGCCACAGTCAGGCTACCTAGGGCTGGAGGCATGAAGTCCCTTCCCTCAGCAGGCACCCGACTCAGTTCAGCCTCTGGAACCTCCTCTAGGTCAGAGCACAGGTCGTCCCCGGGGCCTGGAGGGCTGGGCAGTGGGGACCCAGGGACCCCTCCGGGGGGCCAGCCACTTCCCCAAGGGGCTCCAGGTGGCCCTGGCAAGGTGTCCCCCAGCAGATCCCGGAAGCTGCTCCCCTCGCGCAGCGGCATGGACTCAAGCAGGTGGTTCAGGAGCTCCGCTGCTACCGTGGCGTCGATGGCCTGGCATGTGGACACGAATGTGTGCACCTCGTGCATGCACTGGATGTAGCCAGCAGCAAAACGCTCACTCGCTTCCGCTTGCAGCTGTTCACGCTCTGCGAGTGGGAGGAAGAGAGCAGCGCCCAACGCCATGAGCTGCGACGCCGGTGGCCAGGCCCACCCTGGCCATGGGTACCAAGTTCACCCAGGAGAGGGGGGACGTGAACCCCGCTTTTGGGAGCCCCAGCTACCGTCAGGGCAGGGACGTCGCTGGAAGAGAGGTATTTCAGGGGAATGGCATCCTGGGAGAAGGCACCGGCGCCGGGTCCACGAGCCCCGCTGCCACTCACCACGCGCTCGGCCCCGTAGCGCGCCCTGCACGCGCCGCACTGTCAGCTCCAGCACCTCGGCGTTCTCCAGCTTAGCTTGCACCTGCGCCGGCAGGAAGAGCGGTGAGCCTGGCCGCGCTCCGGGACCCACCCCGCCCTCCCCGCAGCCACCGGCGCCCGCCAGCACCTCGGCGCCAGCCAGCAACAGCCGCAACTCCTGCAGGCTCTCGTTGATCCGCGCACGCCGCTTCTTCTCCACCAGAGGCTTCCGGGCCTGCGGGAAGCGGGTCACTGAACCCCAGCCCGGCCAAGCCTCCCACTCGCCCTTCCGCCCGCGGGCCCCACTCGCACCTTGCGGTCCCCGCGGGCCTCCCAGCAGTCCTCGTCCTCGCGGCCCGCACAGTCCCTGGCGGGGACCAGGGGCGGAGCCATGCCTTCACCGCCAGGAGCGCGGCTAGGGCTGCGAGCCCCCGCGCCCCTCGCAGCACCGGGGGAGTCCCGCGGTCCCGCTCAGTTCCTCGCGTCTTCCGGCTCGCAGCGGCCCCGCCCCTTTTATAGCCACTTATTTGCATCTCAATGCGCCAATTGGCAGCGCGGACTCCTAGCAGGCAGCCTCCAGGCGCCCTTCGGCCAATGGGAGCGGCGTGCTTTGTCCCGCGCGGCAGCCCCAGCCGGTCGGCAGCTGGCGGGGCGGGGCCCTCAGCCCGGCCTCCCACGACCTCCGCGGGGGCTGCACCCGGGGGGCGGCGACCCGGGGGCAGCGGCCTTGAGCTAGCTTGTTTCCTGCTTTCGGCTGCCATAGGACCCCCGGGTCTGCTGTGAGGGGGCTGACCCATTCATGCCGTCCTTCCTCCTTTCTTCCCTCCCACCATCCATCCATCTCTCCGTCCATCCATCCTTGCGTTAGCTCCTCCCTTGGTTCCCTAAACGTGCCTCCCAAGAGTAGCGCTCCAGCCAGTCGCCAGTGGCCGGGTTCTGGAGAAGCAGAATCAAAGTCAAGTCCGTGGACTCCCGATCTGGAGGGGACTTCGTGTCCAGGCTGGGGTGGGTGCGAAGCCCCAGGGAAGTGGGGGTCAGCTGTGCAGCAAGTGTAGGGTCGCCCTGCGATCCCCTCACGCTTACTGCGGACTCTGTGGACACCCAAGCTTGCCGCTTTGCACCGGAATCCTAGTATGGGGAGGTCCGCGGGAGCTCCTTCCCAAATCTTCCTTTAGGTTCTTTTCTCTTGGTCACCTACCCCCCGCGCAGCCCCCACCTCCCCGCACACTGCCAGTCCTTCCCTGGCTCCCCCACCGGAGGTCCGTTGTTCCCTGGTCACATCCCTCTTTCCCCCAGAGCTCCCCTCATTTCCCCCAGTTTCCTTCGATTTCAACCCCCCCCCCAATACACACACCTCTTTCTTCCTCTCGCCCTCACCCCGCACAGCCTTTCCTTGTTCTCTCCCGCACCCCATGAGCCCACCCTTCCCTGGCCCCCACCGCTTCCATCGCCCCTCCTCCTTTGCTCCAAATCCCTTTCGTGCTTCCCCCCAAGTCCCGCCTCGCTTTTGGCCCCCGCATCCTCCCGCCCGGCCGCCAGCACTGCCGTCTGGCCGCCGTAACTTGATGCCCGTGACAGTTGGCAGCTGCAGCCGCTTCAGCGGAGAAAAGCGGCGGCCGCGCCAAGAGCGACAGGTGTTGGCCGCGCCTTTGTCTCGTCCGCTTTGTCCCGCGGGCCTCAGCTGACACGCTTGTGTTGGCCAGACGCCCGCGACCCCCACAGCTCGCCGCCCATCTGGCCGCCCAGCCTCGCCGCGGGGTGCATGGGCTGCGGGACCGCGCCCCTGGGCAGCGCCCTGGGGACCCTGACCTGGTCCTCTCATACCCCTCGCAGCCTGTCAGAGCCTGTGCACCCAGATGGCTTCTTGGCACTCAACCAGCCTTCTTCCTGAACAGGCTCTGAACCCACCTTCAGCGAGGGCCTCCTCACTGTTCAGGTCTCAGTTTCCTCTCCATGTCCTTAGGAGATGCCTGCCCCGTCCGCTGGGTCTAGCCCAACACCCATCCCCGCAGCAGCACCTAACCTAGTCCTGCACTACTTTCCGGTGCTGGGATTGTCAAGGTCTACTCTCAGCTCCTC